TGCATCTCGGACCTAAAGGACCAAAGTTCCTCCCTAATACATCCTCACCACCTTACACTGCTGTTGTCCTCTGTAAGATTTCCACCCACGTATTTCATGTTTTTTTTTTCCACCTCAGAGCTCTGCAATAGAATCACACGATCTTTTTAAATGATTTGTCAATATTGAATATAAATAATTTTAGATGAAAGTAAAGTTTGAAGCATACTATTTTTATCTTATTAAATCTCTCATGTATTTCTTCCACAGATGCCCCTGAGTTCAAGAATGGAAATGAAAGCAAGGAAGTGCTCCAGGGTGAGAATGTTACTTTAAGCTGTAGTGCTGACAGTAACCCACCCTCAAACATCAGATGGATCTACACAGCTGCTGTGAATTCAAACGTGACCACTGAGGGACAACAGAAGACTATCAGTATCACAGGAATCACGTCTGCCAATGCAGGCATTTACATTTGTGTTGCTGAGAATGAAGCTGGGAGAAATACACGATTTGTCTCACTGGTGATAAAAGGTATGATTACTTTTTGGAGAACAGTTATGGAAATGTATAAAGAAAAGTGATAACTGATGTTTAAAATGAACAATATATGACATCGAGAACTGATCTTATTTTAATGTTGTTTTTATTTTGCTTATCTTACAGATAAAGTTCCTTTGCTAGTCATTGGAGTGTTGCTCGCTGTATTTGCCATTGGCCTCATCGTCCTCCTGGTCTTTATTTACTATAGAAAGAGAAAAAATTGGCATTCTTCTTTTGACATAGTATCAATTGCCACAGATGTCCCTCTGACAGTCAGTAGTAATGCTTAGGATATTTCCCTGCATTATGAAAAATGAAGTAAAATTTTAATTGCATATGTAATTTATGATTTGTCCTATAATATTGTATAAATGTACATTTAATTTTTCCATAAATTAATTCCTTGAATTAAACAACTTCATATACCAGAAAACAAATAGCAGAAATATCTAAAATAACAAGAAGGTTATGCCTTAGAGTTAATAATGTTATGTATATGTCTGCTAAACAGTGCATGAAACTGCTGTAAAAACAATTAACATTTAGCAATATTATGTTTGAATTAATTTTTTTATTGTTTTTATGTTTTTTGACTCACAGTTCATTTTAATTGTGAAATATTAAAAGCACAAAGTGTAGCCCTAACAGGTATTACTGCATTTAAACAAAGTAGTCTATGTCATATGCCAGAACTTAAAGGCGAATTATTAATGATTTGAACTAGAGGGTGATCATCTGCTAGTCCAGGACTCTCTGCTAGGGAATCACTGATTTCCAGAGTCCACAGAATACTTTTTATAACATAATTCATTGAAGAACACGGATTAAACAATAGGATGATTTTAACCAGTGGAGGCTGTCGGGTTACAGCACAGCCTCCTGGCTGGCATCCTGTGTGGAGATCAGATCGCTTCCTCTTTAAGGCTTATTACGATTTTTGAGAGTGATGTGGATAGGAAAGCTACGTTGACCTGATTTCCTTCATCATGTTAAATATTTGGAAAAACCAGGCTAAAAGCTGGCAAGCATAATTAATTGCTTAAGTGTGATGGTTATTAAACAATTAATCAGCTATATGTGTTGAAGAAAGACAAAGCTGGAGCAGTCAGTGGTTATATTGTGCTTGGATCCTATTCAACAGGACCTTCCTTCAAATTGCTGGGATAACTTTGGAAAAGCTTTTTTTGCTTTCTGAATAATCTGACTGGCCTGAAAATTGATTTTTGCAAAGAGCTTTCAGTGAGAGTATAATCTGCTTCGCTTGCATGATATTAAATAGAGGAAGAAAAGAGGAAGAATGAGATTAATGGTCATAATATAAAAACTGAAAACAACTTAGAAATGGCTTTTTTTTTTTAACTCAAGGGCCACCAGTTGGTGTCTAATGTTACAAAAAAGAACCCTGTAGTCAAATTCAAATTCAAATTTTATTTACCACACACACAACCATACACAGACAAGTGGTGAAGTGCTTGTTTCTGTGCAATGCCCGACCATTAAACGACGGTAAAGAATTTACAGATTTACAGATTATGACAAAATTTACAGATTTTAACTTAGAAATTTACAGTAAAAAAAGTGCGCAAATAATGATTTAAGAGAGAAATTGGAAGAAGTGTGCAAATAAAAACAGTGACGTGATGAATGAGAGTCCAGTCCTGCACTTGGTTCAGGGCCCAAATAGCCTGGGGGAAGAAGCTCCCCCTCATTTTCTCTGTTTTGGCCCTTGGGGAGCGGAAGCACTTCCCAGACCTCAACAGTGAAAAGAGTCCATTGTTGGGATGGGAGAGGTCCTTCATAATCTTCCTGGTTTTGTTCTTGCACCACTGTGAGTCCACTCATCGCTGTTTACAGTAAGTACATGTGTACAGACTGTGTTACTGTATTATGA